ACTTCCCTGGTGTTGTGCCAAGGTCACTCCCACCCCACCAGGGGGCGGCACTCACTTGAACAAGAACGCTTAAGTTAGGTGGCTTAGTGAGCAGTTTATCCAACCTCCCCCCCCCACACACCCCCCCCCCACCCCTGGTCACACACACACCTCAAACAGTTCTGCACCTGGGAACTGACCTTTCCTACTTGCTTTTTCCAAGGCCTGAGGGAGAAGGGATGTGGATGAAAGTGTAGCTCAGTAGTTAATCCCTTGCACAGCATAAGTGAGTCTCTGGGCTTGAACCTCTCCCCAATCCCGCGCCTCTGCTACACACACACACACACACACACACACACACACACACACACACGCACGCACGCACGCACGCACGCATGCACGCACGCACGCACTCACTCACTCACACACTCCAGTAGACCCAGAATTAGAGAAAAAGAAGGGAAGAAATCACAGAGCTAGAAGACATAATGCTTCTCGGTTACTAAGAGCCCGAGGTGAGTGGACGGGCTCAGGAAGGCAAGGAAGTCTTTCACTAAAGAACCCTGGCACAAGAGCTGATCAAGCCATGCTCTTCAAGACAAGGGTTGCCCTTTTACCATTCCGGTAGAAATGGTTTCTCGCTGTCTAGAGCCTCAGTTTCTTAGTGGTTCCTATCATATCTCAGCTTCCTCCTGAATTTATTTCTAAACTAAAGAGCTCTGTGTGGCAGGTCAAATGATTTATGCTCAAAATCTTAGAAGACTTCCGGGGGGGGGGGGGACTGGGAAGGAGGTAGGGAAGTGATGGGAGGTGGGGGCAGACAGCGTTTACCAGCCAGTAAAAACAAGCAGCACCAGAGGCCCAAGAAGTGTCAGCCTCCATCTCGTACCCTGGACTACTAGAGGCAAAAAGGTATATTAATCTACAGGTCACCAGTGAAGAATGAATGCTAGCTAGGTCCCAGTACCCAAGGCACCCAAGAACTGCCAGAGCCTCAAGGAAAACCTCACTGTAGACATCTAGGGGCTACCTACGGGTTGGACAAGTATTGATTATGTATTGTGTACCTGATATGCTGTGGCCTTGGCACTCTGAGGGGGCACTATTGGGTACAGTGGGACTGGAGGGCATTGCCTGTACCTTTGGTACTTACAGTTGACAAGACTCATTACATGAAACCATAAACCACACCATATAGATTGGGTAAAACTGGGAAACAGATAAAAAAAATACGATACAAGAAATTTGGCTATGGAAGATAAGCAAACACTTTATTAAAAGGCATAGGATTTAAGCTTGGCCTCCAGTAGAATTTAGAGAGGGAAATATCTCCCTAAGAAAAGGGGACAGAGAAATCACACCTCATGAAAATATTGAGTGTGTAGAAATAAGGCTGGGTGAGATCCCTTTTTTTTTCCCATGTTTTGAGAACAGGGTCTCTCTATATAGCTCTGGTTGTCCTGGAACTCACTCTGTAGACCAGGCTGGCCTCGAACGCACAGAGATCCACCTGACTCTGCTTCCTGAGTGCTGGGATTAAAGGCCTGGCTTGGGATCCAATCTTAAGAGTTATCTGGCTGACCTAAAGGCCTAGTGGAGAATGGAGTACCAGCTGTACTGAGCTTCTAGCCCTCTAGTTTATTCAGAGAATTGGCCCAAGTCAGGACATTCCTGAGCTGGTATGGCCACCATCCTGTATTCTCCACCCAAGCCTGCATATGAGGGAAGGAATGGTGCTCTGGAATGCTTTTTCCCATCTGAGCCTAGTTTTTCTAGGTCGAGTACTCCCCCATGCCCACCAACCCAACACTGTACCCAGAGATTTGGGAGGAGCTTTTCTGGGGTAGATAGTGGCTCTCCCTGGAAAGTAGGTTGTTACTTTGTATCTCTTGTGAGAAGTCTGGAGGAGACACTGAGCTTAGGAACTGTGTATAGTTTCTTCTCCCTCACCACACTCTAGTCTTTCCTTCCGGGATTTGACTTTTGCTCTTTCCCAGCCTCCCCTTAGATTAGACTGCTGACCACCCACCTCCCCTACATGTAGCTCATGCCCCTTTTCTACACCTCTGTCCCATCCAGAATTCCATCCGTCACAACCTGTCCTTGCACAGCAAGTTCATCAAGGTTCACAATGAGGCCACCGGCAAGAGCTCTTGGTGGATGCTGAACCCCGAGGGCGGCAAGGGTGGCAAGGCACCCCGCCGCAGGGCTGCCTCCATGGATAGTAGCAGCAAGCTGCTCCGGGGCCGCAGCAAAGGCCCCAAGAAGAAACCATCTGTCCTGCCAGCTCCACCTGAAGGCACCACTCCAAGGAGCCCTCTAGGCCACTTTGGCAAGTGGTCGAGCAACCCTTGTCCTCGAAATCGGGAAGAAGCTGATGTGTGGACCACTTTCCGTCCACGAAGCAGTTCAAATGCCAGCACTGTCAGCACGCGGCTGTCCCCAATAAGGCCAGAGTCTGAGGTGCTAGCAGAAGAGGAAATGGCAGCCTCAGCCAGCAGCTACTCAGGGGGTGTCCCTCCCACCCTCAGTGAAGATCTGGAGCTGCTGGATGGGCTCAATCTTGCATCTCCCCATTCCCTGCTGTCTAGGAGCAGTCTCTCTGGCTTCTCTTTACAACATCCAGGGCTTGCTGGCCCCTTACATAGCTATGGTGCCTCCCTCTTTGGTCCACTAGATGGGCCTCTATCAGCAGCAGAAGGGTGCTTTTCAAGCTCCCAGTCTCTAGAGGCCTTGCTCACCTCTGATACACCACCACCTCCTGCTGATGTTCTCATGACCCAGGTAGATCCTATTCTGTCTCAGGCTCCCACACTTCTGTTACTGGGAGGAATACCTTCCTCTAGCAAGCTGGCTACTGGAGCTAGCCTATGTCCTAAGCCGCTAGAGGGTCCAGGTCCCAGCAACCTGGTTCCCACCCTTTCTGTGATGGCACCCCCTCCAATGATGGCAGGTGCTCCCATCCCTAAGGTTCTGGGAACCCCTGTGCTCCCATCTCCTACTGAAGCTACCAGCCATGACAGAATGCCTCAGGATCTCGATCTTGATATGTACATGGAGAACCTGGAGTGCGACATGGATAACATCATCAGTGACCTCATGGATGGTGGCGAGGGACTGGACTTCAACTTTGAGCCAGGTATAGCATCCCCTGATCACTACAGCATCTCTGTTCTTGAGTGCTCAGCTAATTCTATGATCTGAGCCACAGAGAGCCGTATAGCTGATAACAGGAGCTCCTGGGGAGCTGGAGGGAGTATGTCGTATTAGAATAGCATCACTTCTAAGTGGGACTTCCTGGCTCCTCATCACAGAAGGAGGAGCTGTGTGGAGGGGAGGGAGTGCCTCTGCTTGGAATGAGTCTGGATAGTGCTCCAAATGAATCTTTTATCTTGTTCTCCATTTCTTTTTCCCCACAGATCCCTGAGTCACAGCCAGAAGCTTTGTCCCCTGCTTCAGATTCAGAGGTGGAGCCAGGCCTGTCCTTATCTACTTTTTCCCCCTGAGCCCTCCTCAGGAGTTTGGGACCCTGCTTTCGAGCTAGGGTTAGGTGGTCACACACAGGACTGTTGAGGAAATCGTAAAGATAAAGCTATGCCATGTCGGGATTATGGAAGAGGGTGATGAGAGGAAGGAGGGAAGAGGGCTTATTCTCACTGTGCCAATTAGGGGTTAATTATGGCCCTTTCTCAGGAGCCATCATCGATTTCCCCATTCTCACCTCCTAGGCCTTGGAGCAGGGGCCAGCAATGCTGTTGGAAATGTGAAGTCACCAGTGGCCTTATTACCCCTGCCTTTGGGAGCAGGATTATTATTTTTTTTTTTGTAGAGAGTCTTACTAGAGCTGGGCCAGGCTAGGTTGGGCCTGGATTTTTATGCAGTGGGGTGGGGGTGGGGGGTGGGGGGCTAGGGGACCTAGAAGGGCCAAGTTTTGAGCACTGGAGTGGCTCACCAGGCCAAATCACTTTTGGAAGGATGCAGATAACAGACAGGCTTTTTATAAACTTTTAAAGAAATATAAACACAAATATAGAAATTTTTAACAGTGGTGAGGTGCTAGTAATGGGGAGACTGCTTTTTTTCTTTCTGAAGGCCTTGTCATAGTGACATGATACAAACACTACATATTCTAGGAGGGAGACACAGGAAGCTGGGGAGGGGTGGGTAGCAAAAGTGACCAGAGGGAAGCCCACCCTTTTTGGACCAGGTCTAGAAAAGTCTCTGTGCATACTTAGGTTAGGGTTTAAGGAAAGAAACCTAAGCCAGGCCCCAAATTATGTCCACTTGTGCCTAGAAGAGGGTGCTGTTGCGGGGCCAGCACACTCTTGTTTGAGCAGTGTGGGTTGTTAGTGCTACCAGAGAACATCCAAGGCCTGGAATTGGCTTGGGGCCTAGGAGGGGCGTGAAAGAAGGAAGGATTTAGGGTAGTAAAGTTAGGTACAGAGACCTCCCTGTTCAAGGCATGGGACAGCTGTCCCTGCCCTTCTTCCTAGTCATGGACTGCCAGGGTTATGTGGAAGAGTGTGTGGTGGCAGGCAGGGCTGTGGAGAGGAACAGGGAAGGGGGAGCTTGGGGAGTTTGGCTGAGGGTCTGGGAAATGAGCAGGGATGGGGGGAATGTGGATCAGGTTTACTAGCACCTGCCAGAGAGGCCATCTGGGGCTCCTCCACCCCAGCCCCCAAGCAGCCCCTCCCCCAGCGCCCTTTGCATTGTCCCCTCCCCCACCCCTGCTGTGGGTTCCCATCATTTCCTGTGTCAGCGCCTGGCCTACCCAGATTGTATCATGTGCTAGATTGGAGTGGGGAAGTGTGTCAAATCAATAAATGAGTTCAATAAATGTCTATAATCAGATCTGGTTTCTGGTTTCTGCTGCCTTGCTGCCCCCCTCCAATAAAGGGGAGGGAGGGAGACGGAAAGGCGAAGGGCAGTTAGTTGAAGGGCGGGTGGGAGGGACTGCCCACAGGCTGGGAGGTGGGGGAATTTCAGCCTGGGAGGTAATGGAGTGTGGTGGGGGAGGGACACCTAACCCCAGCAGGAGTAGGCGGCTGCAAGATAGGCCTCCCCCGAGGGGAGGTAGTCTGGTTTGAGAAGACCCCACCCCCTTCTCGGGCCCTCAAAGGCTCATTGTACTAAAAGTCTAGTAACCAGACTTCACAGTCTTTCCTCACCACCACCCCCCCACCCAAGTGCTCACTCCAGCCCTCTGTTGTTGCTCCGGTCCACCCTCACTCAGCCTCCCTGGTGCCTGCAGCCTACTGAAGCCTTTGTGCAGAGACTGGGAGAAGGAGTCTTTCTAGAAAAAAGACCGCTCACGTTAAATTCCAGTAACGTCATGCTCTCCCTCGGTAGTTGCTGCTCTCAGTTGGTCACTTTATTGAGTTAACGATGTCTCTTGAGAAAGTCTGCTCTAGTCTTGTAGAATGGTCTGCGGGTGGGAGGTGGCCCATCTTCATCTGATCGTCCGGCTTTAGACTAGAAAAGAGAAAGCAATCTATTAATGTAGAGGTTCTGCAGGGAAGTTTCTACTGTCTAGGGCCAAATGAAGGAGAAAAGAGGCAACTGGAGTTGGGTGGTGAACATAGATGTCAGATTTAGAAAGGAAATTCTCAGGGGTCAGCAGTACACAAACCTTCATTTGGCTACTTGGACTAGTGCTCTGCTGGGCACTACTCTTGGAGGATCTTGCTGTGAGATTTGTAGAGGATTCCATGGCTGCCAGTCTCTTAGCTTCTAGAGTTCGAAGCATCTTTATTCGGCTTCTCTCCAGGAAGTCACATTGTGTGCGCAGGGACTCTAGAAAACAAGAAAAAGCACCATCACCTCTGAGGAACCAAGATGGAACCCATCATGACCGTCCGTCATTCAATTGATCCGTCAGAGGACCTTGGCCTAAGACAGAAATGATGAGAGGGTGATTGGGAAACTGAAAAGACGACATGGAAGTGGGGAAGGAGTGACATGTACGGCTCACATAGTTTAAACTAGACACCCCTCTAAAGTTTATCTAGACCCTTGTCCCCCTTGTCCCCCTTATCCTAGACTCCTATGATCCCACCCACCCCACTATGCTAGTCCCACCCCTACATTCATAACTTCCCCTCTCTCTCAGTGTCCTCCACATTCAGCCTAGGCTGCCTTTAACTCAAAATCCTCCTCTGGAGTACTGGGGTTACCAATGTATGGCACTATGCCCAGTACACAGCTATGTACACAACTTCCTATGCCCTTCCTCCCCCATCACATGCCTTACCAACTAGTTCCGGCTCTGGATTCTTCAAGAGAGGCACAACAGCTTTGTAGGAATTCTCGATTCTCATACCTGTAAACAGAGCATTGTGCTGTTTCCGGCCCCTGATACATACCAAGTCATACATACCTTTTCAAAGCCCAAGATTTCAGGATTCTAATAGAGCGCGTGTTCTTTTTCCCTCCCCTTTGGCATGGACCTACGTGAACCCTAGGATGAAGTAGGGTGACATGGTCTATATGAACCTAACCTACTGCCATCAAAGCAGGGCCCTTTCTTTGAGCTGACTAGACATGGTCAATTTGGATCTGGTTAAGGATGCCCTATTTTACTTACTAATTTGTTTTGGGGAGTCTTGAGATAGGATCTCTATATAGCCCAAGTTCACTTTGAACTCCTAGTGTTCCTGGCTCCACCTTGTGGGTGTTTTCTGAGGCAGTATCTTGCTATGTAGCCCAAGCTGGCCTCCAACTCTCAATCCTCCTTACCTCAGTTTCTAAAGAATGTACTTATGTTGGGAGGTGGTGGCTCATGCCTTTAACCCCAGCATTTAGGAGGCAGAGACAGGCAGAGATCTCTGTGAGTTCAAGGCCCAGTCTGGTCTACAGAGTGAGTTCCAGAACAGCCAGAGCTGTTAAATGTATTTATTTATTTTGAGATAGGGTCTTATGCAACCTAGGCTGTCCTCAAAGTTGCTGTACGGTTAGAGATGACCTCAAACTTCTGATCCTCCTGTCTCCACCTCCCAACTACTAGGATTATAGGCTTGCTCCACCACACCCAATTTTATGCAGTTCTAGGGATGGGACCCAGAACTTCATGCATGCTAGGCTAGCACCCTGCCATCTGAGCTACACCCCAGCCCTGCTTTCTGTTTGTTGTCGTTATGTGTGTGGTGTTTGTATTTGGGATGAGAGCTTGCTATGACGCCCAGGCTGCCCTGGAATTTACAATCCCCCTGCCTTAGTTCCCTGAGTGCTGGCATTGCAAGAGAAAGTTGCCGTATTTTAAGGACAAGTTTCCTAACCCACCTTGAGGGACTTCTGAAGCTTACCTCTACCTGGTGCTCCACGCTCTACTTTACAAATGTAGTAGATACTTCGAGCTGTAAGGAATTTGCTGGCATAGTCCCCAGGTGTCTTTGACAAGAAAAGTAACTTCATGGTCCCAGTTTCATCGCACAAATCAATGGTGTCTACAGGAAGGCCGCAGGGTAATTGAGACAAGTAAGACTAGAGAACGTGAATAAAAAGGGCCAGGGCTCCTCTACAGAATGGGTTTGAGGAAGGTTCAGGGATAGGAGGCTAACCCTTCTTGATGGGAGGATTCAGAGGCCAGAAGCAGCCTATTGCTTCTGACCTTCAGTCTCTAGTCTCTACTTCTCTCCAAACCACTTACCTGTTTTACGCAACCCCATTTTCTTTCGGATGTAATGTAGTAACAGGAGAACCGAGCAATTGGTGTTGACTAGAAACTCTTGATTATCTGAGAAGAGATGGGATGGAGATATGCGGGCCCTTCTCTGGTTCTGTTCCCTCTGTGATCTCTGCTGTCCTTAGCCCTCCCCACGTCCATGCCCAGACTTGTTCTGTGCTGCCCCTCACCTCCATGTTTAATGTAGATAAACATGCTATCAGGATCATCTCACTCTTCAAAGTTCCCCTGGTGAATCATGAAGAAGGAGGGTGTTCTGGAGGCCCTAGGTGCCTGAGGTTGCCCATAGGGTTGGGTGACCGAAGAGCCAGGTGTAGCTCATAAGTTGAAGGAGGCCCAGCCTGGGCAGACAGGAGAGCACTTTTGGTAGTTAAGTATGGTGAGCATGTGTAAGGGGTGGGGCCTGAGGCTGCAGCTAAAGGATTGTGAGGTCAGAAATGGTACTTACAGTAGAAGGTAGGGTAAGGCCAAGGGGAGGAGACACTGGGTGGGATCTGTAAAAGAGCTTCTAGGACTTGGGTCAGCACAGCAAATACAACTGTACACTGGCCCCTGGAGTGAGCACAGAAATTTACCAGAGAAAAGTAAGTTACCAGATACTCCCTTTAGTTCACTTGGAGTGCTCTTTCTTCGGCAGCACGACCGCACTACTCCATTTTCCTACCCTCACACCATTCCTCCCAACTCCGTGTTTCCCCTGCTCCCCAACCCCACAACAGACATTCTTGATGATCATTGGTAGAAACTTTATTTCTCGTTGATTGAGGAACAATTCAATGGTAGGTGGAAAAAGGGAGGGAGGAGCCTGTAAAAGAGAAGGACTGTGCTGGGCTTGGCGGTGCGTACTGATAACCCAAACACTCTGGAGGCTGAGGCGGGAGGAGAGTCTGGGAGGTAGAGGCCAGCCCAGCCTACATAGTGGGTTCCCAGCCACCCAGGGCTACAGGGTAAGACTGTCTCCAAAAACAAGGGAAGGTGCCAGACTTGGGGGAGGGGATGGGGCTTGTGCAGGGAAAAGGGACAAGGGGTATTTCTCAAGTAGAGCATATTGAATGGAGGAGCAGTTACATGGGGCAGGAAATTGAAAATTAGCCACGGGGTGGGTGGGGAGGGGGGGCGTGCGATAGGCATTGGATCCAGATTGGCAAAATGACAGGGGGAGGTGAGCGTCACTTAGAGCTATAGGACCCTGAGATTCCATCAAGGGATTGAGGCTCAGGCTTCAGGCTTCAGAGAATAACATGGAGGAGGCCAGTAGGGGCTATGCAGACTGCAAGGGGAACCTCCGGGCCCCTCTCCTAGGGCCCCTCCTTTGGGAGGAATCTCACTGACGTGGCAGAACCGTTCACTGTAGTCTGGCTGTAGACTCTCAGTCAGCCCTTTAGACACACCACTCCAGGCCTAAAGACAGATATCTCCAGGTCAGAGGTCGATTAGGGGCAGGAAGCAAAAGACCCAGGCTCGGGGCCAAAGGAGCTCTCACAACTCTGCAACCATTGCGATTACAGAAGGGATACCCAGACTCCAGGGCCCCTAATAACACACTTTTCATCTGCATCACACAATCTCTTTTGCTCCCTCTCTCTGCCTAGCCCACCCTCCATTTGGTCAGCCACATCCTGATGATGCAGGCCCCCTCCTCCCTCCACTCTGCCCCCCTCACAGTCTGTCTTGCTAGCTGGCAGTTGGCAGTTGATAGACTGCAATATGCGTATGGCAGTGTTCTCACCGAAAAGTTCCCGTGGTATTCAGTAACCAGATCCTCTAGATTCTTGATGGTGGGAATTCGAGGCATTGCCCTGAGCAGAGAGAAAGAGAGGAGCATTAAATGAAAGCCCCTTTATTTCCCGTCATCCAACTGGCCAGCGTGGAACCTATAGCTTCCTCTCAACACCCTCATCGGAGCTCTTTATGATCTACCTCTGGAGAGCCTGAAATAACCCCGCCACCCCCACCTCTTTTTAAGGGCTTCCTGAAATCTCACCGTTCCAGCCAACAATACACAAAGATCAGGGTAATAATCAATCCCATGGAGCCAACGGGGATGAGCACAGCTTCCAGCGCAAACACGGAAGGATTCTCTGCAGCAAAAAAGGAAAGGAAAATGAGCCTTGCATTTGTGGCACTCATAAGACATGGATGCCAGGCACCATGCCAAACACACTCCTTATGCTTACTTTCCACACAGCTCCTGAGAGGGAGGAACAATGTTTATCTACATTTTACAGATGAATAAAACCAAATCAAAGAGGTCAGCCCAGATCCAAGGTCATCTTCACTATGCAGACTCTATGGAATGCTGTAGAGACCTCCTACACATTCCATATTACCCTTGAGCACCCTTTGGCTTCTTTGGGGATCCACTCTGTTACTCTGGCTGCAGCCCTTCTCATCCCTACATAGCAAACCCTGCTTCATAGTGATTGACTTTGAACAGTGGGTGGAGGTAGAGGCTTGGGGATAGAGCGATAAAGCACACAATAGCGGCAGTGTATCACAAAGGTTGTGGTATTGAGTTCATGATTTAGGGGTCATGTATTCGGGCCACTTTACCCTTTGCAGTATGGCTTCCCCAGTGAATAGGTTGGCTCCATTTACTCCAGTGTTGAGCACTTCCACAGAGGGGGTTAAAGCGGCTCCGAACCCGGAATGTGTACAGTTTCTGCCCATCCACACTAGGCAAGGAGAATCTAGGGTTCTGATCCACTATTTGTTCCTGGGGAGAAGAAGGGTGTAGGGAAGATAGTTATAGATAAAGGAAGAGAGAATGGAAACATCCTTGCCTATACCTCAATGTCATCTTGTGATTCTTCTGATTTCTGGTTCTTCCCGGGAAAACAAACTAAGAAACTGGTTCTGGTTCTTCCCAGTTCTACTTCACTCCTTTCCTGACTACTCACAACGCACCACTCCCTTCTCTAACGTGACTCAGAAGTAGATCTCCCCTCCAGATGCACTCACTGTCTTCCTTCATGTCTGCATCAGGAAGAGGATGAGTAGGAGAGCCAGAGTGAACGCTTACTGGTGATGATAGAAAAAGAAATGCAAGTATGGACGGAGGAGCTGGGAGGCAGAGAACTCGAGCTTGGTATTAGGTCCTTCTATCTAGCTAGTTGAATCCTTTCTCCTCTCTTTCTCGGCCTTAGTTACCGCATCTACACCCCCAAGGCACTCACCGTCCAGCTTCGGTCTCGGTCGCTCCGGTACTGCACCAAGTGTTGTAAACAGTGTTCTTTGTATCTGCTCTGCCAGCTCAGCTCTAGCTGGGATTCACTCAGGTTGTAAAGTGTTAGATTCTCCGGAGCCCATGGGATCACTGGAGATATGTGTGCGTGTGGTCATTGCCCTGGCCTAGACAAGTCAGGATCTTGGAGGTAATTCCCCTTATCCTTCCTCCCTTCCCCATCCCAAACCTCTATCTTCTCCCTTCTGCCCATGGCCAACAATGAGGAAAGAAAAATCTTGAAAGTCCAATGCCCTTAAGCTCCCTGGCCTTTTGGTCATTTCTTTCCTGATTACCAAGATTCTGAAGGTTTAGCTTCTGTTCAGCCTGCCTCTGGGGTCTCCAAGGGTCCTGGAGCTGGACGATAAATGTCTGGTAGAGCTGGATCTCCTCTTTTTGTATCTGACAGCCGGAAGTAATCTCTCCTGAGAACAGATAGTGGCCACACTCCCGGAATTTATTATCAGATCTTTGGTACCTAGAGAAGGGTTACAAGGAAGAAGAATGATGGGTAAACATGGGTACTATATGTCCATAGACTAGCCTCATCTCGTCTGAACTGACAACTTATCCCATGAGAAACTAGTAGGGTGCCCGAGAAGCTGGCTACCCTCTTTTTTTTTTCTCCCCAGCGTGGTCTCTCTCAGCTAGTCTACTTTCTTTTCTTTCCTGTGCTACCCACTCTCCCTTCTCATACCTATAGTGCAGAGTCAGGTTGGTCGGCTGGGGCTCAGAACTGCTATTCCAAGTACAATTCATATACTCGACATTGAACACAAAGCATTGAACCTCTGGGAGGGGCCGAGTAGGAACACTGGTGTGTCCAAGGAAGAAATCTGAGTTTGGGAACAAAATGAGGTAGTGGAATGGAAGAAAAGAAATCTTGGTCAGAAGCAGCAGTAGTGGGACAGAGCCCTTTCCCGTGTCCTCCCCACTCTACTCTGTGGAGCCATTACCATGGCCACTATCAGGCTCCAGATTTCTTCTATACAGTCCTTTCCCCAACAACCCCCTCTGGTCCTAATTTCCTACCGGCTTTGGTGTCTTCATTCTTACTGAGCATGAGGACCTTGGAGCTGCACCCTACCCCTAGCAGGAGCAGCTGAAGGAGTAAGAAGGATCTAGATGGCAAGAATGGATTCAACATGGCGCTTGCTCTTCTTTCTCTGGGTGTAGTCTGTGTCAGAAGCCTGAACTACTCTCCCACAACCCCTCCCCACGCATACATTTCCTTTTGTCGTAGCTTCCGGTGGAAAGAACCTTAGAAACCACGGCTGTAGAGGGGGGTTGGTAAATGGGTTCAGTGACACAGGCTAAGTCCTCTGGGAGATTGGGTTCTGCTGCAAGGTGATGTTAGGTCAAGATTAGTACTTGATCAACAGCAGTATCACAGAGTCAAGAATCGTCAGGCCACCTTGGTCCAGGAAGGAGCTGCTCAACACCCACCCCCACTACACACCATCATTCCCACTCACCTTCTCTTCTAAGTTATCTTTTAGAGTAGAAGGTCTGAACACCCCCATCCTGGGTTATGATCCTTCCTTGACTAAATCCCCCTTAAACCTCTATCAAAGCTCTGCAGTCTGGGGAAGATGGAAAATGCTGACTTGATTCACGTGAGCACATGTACAGCTGTCTTTCCTCGGACCTATCTGAGCTAGAATCGCCACCTCTAGCTACTGCCTGAACTTGGTCCCTATTGACACTGGTGAGAGCTGGCTTCTAAAATGGAAGAACAGCAGTACTAGCTTCAGGCTCCCCCAGCTCCCTACAACTCTGCTTCTCTTCCTGCCTTCCTCGTCCTGGTTAATAGTATCATCACCTGCCAGACTTGAAACCTCAGGATCCTCTTCATGTCCCCCTTCTCTCTCATGCTGAGAATCCAATCAGCCCTGTTTCTGTGATATTCTCCCAGCAGTTTCCTCTTTTCTGTTACCACAGCCACCGTGCTAAATCAGCCTCTCATTACCTCTAGTCATGATTATTCCTGTAACCCACAAACTGGTCCCCTTTCTAAAGGGCCTCTGCTCTCCAGTCCATTCTTCATTCTGTGGCTGGATTTACCTTCCCTCAAAGCACAGGGTTGATTAGAGAAGCCATTTACTGAAATTGTTTATCCAGCCAACATTTATTGAGTCTTTAATATGTGCTAGGTACAGTGTTTATGTTCTGAGAACATAAGACAAATAAGATGTCATCATTTTAGAAGCTCATAGATAAGTAGAGAACATATAAATAATACAATATACTCTAATGAGTGCTACAGCGTAGATGTGGAGATTCTCCAAAACACAGTTGTCCTGGAACCAGCCAGCTGCTCTTTTCCTAAGCCTGATTTGCCACTCCATTTTCTCTCTGGTAAAATTACCCTCATTTTTTCAGATTCTGCTTTAAAAGCATCTCTTCAGTAAAGTGCCCTTGAACTATCCTCTTTCCATCTTGGTCAATTTAGTTACTTCCTCTTTCTGGGAGAGGTGGCAGTGGTGATGTTGAGACAGGGTCTCATGAACTCCGGCTGACCCCAACCTTGGTATGCTGTGAGGCTGGCCTTAGCTCCTGATCCCTCTGTCTCCACCTCCTAAAGTGCCAAAATTACAAGGAAGTGCGCTGCATGCTTGGCTTGCAAACCTTACCTTAACTATACCTTCTAAAACCCTTTTTGCCAAAGAAAATCACAAATTCTGAGTGCACATATCTTTTTGGAGGCCACCATTTGGCCTACTACAGAAGGGGTTATTCACCTTTAAAGTCTTCAAATGTTATCCATAGCCTTTAGGATTAAGATTCCATTAACCTATGCTAGCCACATTGGATACATGTTTGACTGATTTAGCCACTGCCTAACTTAGAGAAGGGTCCCCTCTTAGAATGGCCAAGATCAAGAATTCTGACACCACCAAACCTGAATTGCCAGGGGAATCAATGTGAAGCAATAAGAACTCTCATTCAGGGCTGGTGGGAATGGAAGACTCTAGGTTAATTCCCCCTTCGTGGTTTTGTTTTATTTTAATTAATTAATTAATTAATTTATTTATTTATTTATTTGGAGCTGAGGATTGAACCCAGGGCCTTGTGCTTGCTAGGCAAGTGCTCTACCACTGAGCTAAATCCCCAACCCCTGTTTTATTTTTTTTAAGATAGGGTTTCTCTGTGTAGCCCTGGCTGTCCTGGAACTCGCTTTGTAGACTAGGGTGGCCTCGAACTCACAGAGATCCGCCTGCCTCTGCCTCCTGAGTGCTGGGATTGATTAAAGGTGTGTGCCGCCATGCCTAGCCACGTTTTTTCTATTTTTTTTCCTTTTTTTAAAAAGCCCTATGTACTTTGGATGTTAATGTTGTACCAATGTAGAATATAAATTCATCAATTGTAACAAAATGTACCACTCTAGGATGAGATGAGGCGAGGCAGAGGGAGTGTACTGGAGCACTTTCAGGTTCACAGCAATATTAAGCAGAAGGAACTAACTCTACCTTGCTGTGAACCTGAAATTGCTCCAATTTTTTTTCAAACAAAGTTTCAAATTTACTGTGTAGCTGAAGATGATACAGATCCTGATCTTTAACCTCCAGTCTCAAGTGCTGGGATTACAGGCATGTACCACTATACTCATCTGCTGTTTGTTTTTGAAGGCCTTCAGAGTTAAATCAAAAGTCACCACATCCAGTATATTTTCCTCTACCCAATCAGATTATATTTTTTAAACTTTTTTTTTTTGAGACAGGGGTTTCTCTTGTGCAGCTTTGGAGCCTTTCCTGGAGCTCTCTCTGTAGCCCAGGCTGGCCTCGAACTCATGAAGATCCGCCTGTCTCTGCCTCTCGAGTGCTAGGATTAAAGGCGTGCGCCACCACCGCCCGGCTGTGTCTTTATATTTTAGAAAATAATCTTTTGTACTCAACTTGTATTTTTAAGGCTAGCCTTTGCACTTCTCCTCCAGTGGCCCTACACCTAAGGGTTCAGACTTGCGGACCATTATCAGTATTTCACTTCTACTTTATTTTTGCCCACTTGTCTTTGTTACTTTCCTTGGAACAGTTTGAGATCAGTTTGCCTCTGTCTGCAGAGGGCTAGGACTACAGTCATTGTACCATGACCAGATAGTTATTTATTTTGTGTACATGTGTGTATATGTGTATGGGCAAGAAAGTTCCTTCCACCATATGGATTCTGGGGATTGAACTCAGGCTATCAGACTTGGTGGCAAGCACCTTTACCTGATGAGCCATTTTGCTGGCCCTGATTTTGGTACTTTTATTATGGCACTTTAGCTGTCTTTTCTCTAAAAAAAAAAAGTATCATAATAGACAGACTATCAGCTGTATAATATTGGGCAAGCAAATTATCACTCTTTGAAAATCAGCTTCCTTGGGCCAGGTGTGATGGCACATACCTTTAATCCCAGCACTAGAGAGGCAAAGGCAGGAAGATCTCTGTGACTATGTGGTCTACAGAGCAAGCTCTAGGACAGCCAGAACTACATAGAGAGACTCTGTCTCAACTAAAGAAAGAAAATCAGCTTCCTCATCCAGAAAATAGACACACTAACAGTGCCTAAATCATGGGGAGGGTGGATTAAAGGAGATAATGTCTAAAGCATGTGATACAGTAGGTGCCTCTCACTACAGCAAAGGTTCTTCTTAAAATGTATTTTTAATTTAAAAAAGATTAATTGCGCCGGGTGTTGGTGGTGCACGCCTTTAATCCCAGCACTTGGGAGACAGAGGCAGGCGGATCTCTATGAGTTCCAGGCCAGCCTGGTCTACAAAGCAAGTTTCAGGACAGCCAGGACTGTTACACAGAGAAACCCTGTCTTGAAAAACCAACAAATAAATAAGTTTAAAAAAATTAAAATAAATAAATAAATAAATAAATAAATAAATAAAGATTAATTGCTGGGTGGTGGTGGCACACACCTTTAATCCCAGCACTCGGGTGGCAGAGGCAGGCAGATCTGTGAGTTCGAGGCCAGCCTGGTCTCCAGAGCGAGTTTCAGGACAGCCAGGGCAATACAAAGAAACTGTGTTTTGCCTTGAAGCTTTAGGAGGCAGGTGGCTCTCTGAGCTTCCTGTGAGTTCTAGGTCAGCTTGGGCCATATAGAGACTTCCAGGGCACCTGTGGCTACAGTGGGATGACTCTGTCTCAAAAAGGAGGGGGGGGGTGTGTCACTACGTAGTCTGGGCTGGAAGTGAGTCTATTGAGTTGTGGGAATTATAGTGTGCAACACACACACTAAGCGTCAATGGTTTCCCCTGTCCCCTTTGGTCTTTTTGAGACAGGGGATCACTATGTTGCTCTGGGTGACCTGCTTACCTCACCATATCGGTCTCTTCATTGGCATTTTTTGTTTATTTGTTTGGTTTATTACTTTGGTTTTTGAGACAGGGTCTCTCTATGTAGCCCTGGTTGTCCTGGAGCTCACTGTGTAGACCAGGCTGGCCTTGAACTCACAGAGATTCTCTTGCTTCTGCCTCCCAAGTGCTGGGAGTAAAGGTGTCTACCACCAACCTGGCTTTTTTTTTTTTTGAGACAGGGTCACAGTGTGTAGACTTGGCTGCCCTGGAAGTCACTATGTATATCAGGCTGGCCTCAAACTCACAAAGATCTGTTTTCTTCTGCTGGGACTACAGGTGTGCACCACCAAGCCTGAGTAAGGAAGGGTTAATAACAGCAACAATAAGATTAGAAAGTTTTGGTGCAGAGGGGCTGTAACTGCCTGGAGAGATTTATCAGGTGCTTTCTTTTTTATAAGACAGGATCACTTGTATTTCAGCCCATAGGTGCTTTATTTCTTTTTTTTTTTTTTTTTTTTTTTTTTGGTTTTTCTAGACAGGGTTTCTGTGTAGCTTTGTGCCTTTCCTGGATCTTGCTCTGTAGACCAGGCTGGCCTCAAACTCACAGAGATCCGCCTGCCTCTGCCTCGCGAGTGCTGGGATTAAAGGCGTGTGCCATCACCGCCCGGCTATAGGTGCTTTCTTAAACAACAGTAGTCTCTAATCTTTACAACTGCCTTTTAAAGAAAATATTAGCATACCCCTTATCCAGATGCAGGAACTAAAAAAACTCAGTACTTAGTAAAAGATGCAGTTATTAACCAAAGTAAACATTCCTGAGCACTTATTTTAGGCCAAGAACTGAGAGAGGCGACGGGAACCCAGTTCCAGCTCGAACTCAGTCGCGCGGCAGTCTCCCTCCATCTCAGGTCTGCTCCTGCAGCACAGGCCATGCGGGTGGATTTTTAGTAGGTGAAATTGACTTTCCCTCCTAGGGCCCAAAGCTCCCGGGCCGTGGGGCTCCGCCCCGCGCTGGC